GTTAACGGTTCTGAAACATAGATTAACGCGTAAATAATGGTAATAAAAAAAGGTCATTTCATTCTTTAACATATTTGGATCCAGCAATTTTTGAAAAGTAGGGGGGGGGGGGGGGGGGGTTCAGATCGTTGTACCCCGCTTTAATGCATAGAATCACTCCATAACTACTTCCAGTCCGTAGGTTCATTAATAAAAAGAGGCAGCTCCAAAAAAATGACAAGAAAAAAACAAACAAACAAAAACAAAAGAAAAAAACTATATACCACACTTTAAGATTGGGGGGGGGGGGGGTAGAGGGGGGCTTCCTGTCACTTTTCTGTTCGGTACATTCACTCTTAAATCTGCGTACTTTCCGGCAACAAAAGATGTGGAGGAAGCTTCCAAAACAAAATATTATTTCAAAACTGTATCGAAAGATTATTCTCAGAAAAAGTGAGCACCCTCCCTCTGCATATTACATGAACATTTTAACATTTTCTATATTAATCAAAAATATTTATGAATACTTTTAAAAGTTAGTTACTTCTGAAGATGGTCCAAAATGGTATCTACCTTGCATTTTACTTGTGGATGTTCGGAGCCCTCAGACAGGGTTTTCCTATATACTCCTATGCAAAACTTTGATCGGCCATATTGGCCCCACCCTACCCCCGGGGGTCATAATTTGAACAAACTTGAATCTACACTACCTGAGGATAATTTCTCATGAGTTTCATCTTTCCTGGCCTAGTGATTTATGAGAAGAAGATTTTTAAAAAACGCCATTAAATTTTCTCGAATTCATAATTATCTCCCCTTGGAAAAGGGCGTGGTCATTCATTTGAACAAAATTGAATCCCCTTCACCCAAGGCTACTTTGGCTCAGGTGAGCTAAAAAAAAGGGGGGGTAAAACCTCTTAACGCCCCTCCGGTCTGCCAATGCTTTCATATAATTTGGATCTATTTTCATTTATTATAAGTTAAAAAAGAAATCAATAAATACACACCTGAACATATGCATATATATTTATATCATACTGGTACATGGAGCGCCAAGGCAATTATACTTGTCAAATTGACAAATAATTTTTGCTTTTCTATACTTGTGATTCGTCCGTACGTATCGTCAGTTACACAGGTAATCACAAAGTAAACAACCTTACCGTTCGTAAAGCAGACATTCGTTCGTTACGTGTTTGGTGTTCTCTCATAGGCGGGACAATAGTACGAACCATTACAAAGGCATTGACAGGAATACTGAAAACATCCATCATTGAACTTGAAGATGGAATTTCCACGATATCGCTCTCCTCTGACAATGCATTGTCTACAAGACTGAGCGCTGCAAACGACGAAGATAACGAGGAGAAAAAGAAAGAACCTTAACATCTTTTAAAAAAAATGTAAAAGTCATATGCGTTCAATTACCTGTAGAATATGAACATATATTTCAAAGGTATATAAAATTGGATTAACACTTTCCTGATAGATATATCTTGTGACTAATAGTTTTGATTTTGTATTCAAGACTTTGACTAATATATGTTCTTAATTAATGACATGTTCATGCGAGTAATAATAGTAAATGAAATTAAAATTAATAAATGAAACCTGAGTTTATTAACATGGATGTAAATGGGTTATACATATGCTATAATAGGGATTTTCACTCGATTACCTTACTCCTTTACGTGTTATAATAATGTGTGACAAATGTATTAGAGGGTATGAAAACAAGGTTATCAATTGGTAGTGCGTGTGGAAAATATCTTATAAAAGAAATTTTATTTTGAGAGAGAGAGAGAGATAGAGAAATGGGGGATATTTATACTTTAAAAAGCATTATATGTATATTAATTTCTCTTTATTATGAACGAAGCATGAAACGTGAAGATTTTAACAAAGAATTAAAACCCTACGATAAAGAGTATACATAAGAAACAATTACTGTTGTATTGCATTTTAAATTTTAACATGCATTCGAATCTGATGACGGTTTCAACTTTCCTCAAAACCTGATTGTTTTCTTTCCTATTATTTTAAATTTCACCTTATCATTAGATATGGAAGCATTCACAATTGACAATATAAAGATAACTAGATAGTCTTTTTGCACATACCTTAATTTTCACAAGGTCCAACATACAGTGTACAAATAAAAAGCATGAAAAAAAAACGTGAAGTTCTATTTTATAGAAAGCCACAAATTAGTTACAGCATTATCTCATTACCCCTATTTGTCCAAGTAATTGCCATTCATAAAGTAAATTATCTTCAAATAGGGAACCTTTAAAGTTTACAACCAATGCAAATGTCATTTGGGAAAAATGCTTACATGTATATATACTCAACAATAAAAAAGAAACGCATAATAAGATTAAACATGATAAGTTTTCAGTTTAATCCTTATTTTTTAAAAGTGATTTTAGAGGGTTTTGATAAAAATCAAACATGACCTGTGTTGCCAGCAGAAAAGTGAAGTTATGTCAGTGTCGACGCCTCCACATTTCAAGCCCCACCGTCTTAAACAGTCCATATGTCCTTGCAACTTCTAAGCACTAGTGGATTCCCACTGTACGGATATTGTGCACTAATACAAGCTCCTATCAGTCTATTGCGAACAATTTATGCACTTATATTCTGATTTGTTCATCCAGCAATTATAGGAGCAGTTTTTACAGCAGTTGTGAATCGCATGAGGTGCTATAATAAAAAGGGGGTCTGTAGATTTTACCTGGGTATGGTTATCTGTGGGCGGCCAATTATTGGTCTTCCGACGTTAGTTTAACGGCTGCAAAGCCATTGATGTATTCCAAATGCGGTTGCAACTTCCTGTACTCTTGGAGAGGACTTATTTAGGCCATGCCTGATGTCCAATCCAATTATGTAAGCTTACTTTACATAATACAATATTGTTTAAAATTTAAAATTAAATTACAGGTAGTACGTTGAATATTGTATCCATGAAAATTACCCAATTTTATGTTTCGCGCATAGAAGAAAAAACTGCTCAGAAATCTATACATGTGGTTTATAAGCGGTGTTTACTGTGATATTGCATATTTTCTAATTTCAAGGTTTGAGGGAAATATACTGATTCATGAAGATTTGATTCCGTACTTGATTTTTTTGTAGGATTTTTTATGAACAATTCCATTTCGTGGTAGACAAAAAATTGTGGGTCTCTTTATGCCTCGAAAATAAAGAAATCAAACCACCTTGAAAATTAATAATTTCTTAATATGCAATAATATATAACTTTGTAAAACTTTCTCGATCGATCCTACAATAGGCATTGCTAGTGTTTTTATAAAATCCAACGATCCTTTGACATAAGGTTATCGCGCGTTCCGGTTTACATGAATTAATGTAAAAGCTTTGGACAGACACAAAAATTTACTTAGAAATCCATTAGCGCTCAATACGTTTTAGCGTTCAGGGCTCTTTTGCCAAAGGCGCTTAAATTAGTCGTATGCCAAATATTCTCGTTTTACAGTATTAAAAGTTTAAACCATATTATGCATTTAATTATACATTTAAATTATTCAGGATGTATCTAATCAAACATATGTGACATTCATACTGAACGACATCTATGCTTAAATTCTAATAAAATTATAATTATTTTTCATAAGAATATTCTTAATCTGTACAACTTGTCAACTATTGCATTTTACAGATATTGAAAGTGTTTCTACTTCTCTTCGTTGCCTTCATCCTTTGCAGCGCACAGTCTTGTAGAGAATACATTGTCAGAGGGCAGTGATATCGTGGAAATTCCAATTTTAAGTCCAACGATGGATGTCTTCAGTATTCGTGCCAATGCTATTGCAATGGTTTGTACTATTGTCCCGCCTATTTAACTCTTTACAACTTACTGAACTGTTATGCAACATACACTTAATGTTCACGTCATAGAAATAGATATTCAACATTTCCCCGCAAGCACCTTATAGCGAGGTATACGTTTCTCTAATGTTTAGCGTAGATAATATCATGACGTAATATTTTGATACAAATTTATCTTTTCTTATTTAATGACAATTTTGCAAGTATAAAATAGAAGGAAAATGGCATTAAATGGAATGATATGCAGAGAGGAAATGGAAACCGATGTCAAAATTTCTTTTAGCTATAGGTAAATTAAATTTGGAGTGGGAATTCCATGGGGAAATTTATACCATAGTGTCAGTTTCACCAGGCAAAATCCTACTCGATTTTCTTCTTTTAGGGAGGGAATTTACTGTTTCAACTTTGAATACAATTACATTTAACAACGATGAAATATAATTTCATGTACCAGTCTTTTTTTCTGGTGTTTTCTAATTCATATATATTAGAAATCTGCATGATACCATCCAAGCACAGTCACAAAAAACGCCATGATTCATGCCTGTGTTGGAATGAAATCAAGTTTTTTACAGGCAAAAAAACTTTTTTAAATAAGAACCATAAGTATAAAACCGTGAAAAAAACTTTTTTTCACTTCTATTGACAGTGGTTCATCCTGAAGAGCACAGGTTAAAGGGCAACCTCTACATTACATGGAAGGAATTTCAACGATTTAATGTATAAATTACATGTTAAAATGAGATAATCATGTTAAACACGAATGTCAACCAGTTGCTTAAACATCATAATATATATTATCACTCAATTACTGTCCGTTGACATTATGACTATCAAATTATTTCGAAATTTGTAAATTGTTTGCACAGTTGCATTAAAGATAAAAAAAAATTCCATCACTGCAAAGCAGATGTTATGTAAATCTTGATCATTTTCATTTTTTTATGTCAGGATTTTACTATATTTGAAGAACCCCTTAATTGAATTAAAAGTGATAAGAAAAATTGCATCTTCGTAAAGTAGCTAAATCATAATTATAATCATATGTACTCTAATATAATCATCACAGGGTCAAAAGGACCCACAAACTGTACGCAATTATCAAAATTCATTCAAAATTAATCGTAATTGGTCATCATCTATTATGCCCTTGGCTATAAAACTCATGAGAGATTTCAACGGTTCATGTATGTTTGGACAAAGTTGCCTTCAAGACGAGTCTAGAGGTAGGCACACTACTTTATTTAGCAAAGAAAGTATGAAAAACTTATATAGTACATTTGCTATTGCTACATTGTATAATCTTTCATAAGTATATCTCAGAAAAGCAAAATTACTTTGTAAGTAATTTCAATCACATGTTTTCGTTAAGTTCACTTTTGTGTTTCAGAAATAAATAAGCCTTTCATTGGGATTGTATTGCGTGGCTTAAGGAGCGCTGAATTTATATATTTTTTATCTAATTAAAGAATATGCAACGTTTAAAGATAGCATGTAAATTTTTTCAATCATCTTTTTTGCAACATGAAAGACATCGGATACTCGCAACTAGGTTAAGGGTTACCCAAAGGTAGATCAGTGTATGCAGAGCCCCAGGAATTTGATTATGACGTCACAATGAAACTGTACAAATGAATTTTGGCGAATAAATAATAATTTCCTTTTCATATACTTTTACATACTTTGGTTACTCATTATTATTGTAAATATAAATTAATGTGTACTTATCTTGTCATTATAACACTATTTGAATGTAAAATCAAAGCCAACATGATCTCGCGATACTAACAGATATGACGTCATAGGCTAGTTTGACACGCAGTTTTTCTGTACTAAGACGCAGATCAAGCTATCAGTGGAACGGATATATATAAAATATGAAAATTAAAACTAAATAAATAGCTATTATCCCTACTATTTTGAAATGTGCTGGAGCAAATTGTGCGCTGTTGATTTTTTCTGTTATCTTATATTTCTTCAATGCATATAGTGTAAATGCACATAGTCTATCAAAAGTCGGCTAAATTTCATATAATTCCTCGGCATGGAGAAGTTGCACTTTTCTGGTTTAGATTTTTTTTTAAAGAAATCGCATCCAATTTCATCGTGAAAAATTATCTTTATATCCTTGAACATTTACGATATTTGTATCCCTGCATATTTTTTTTCTAATTTTAATCATTTCACGTGACAAACGGCTTATATACGTGAAGTCTCTTTGGTCAAACTTGGTTAAGACCACATATATACATATGCATTAGTATAATTGTCATTGAATTAAAACTCATGCTAATAAAAAAATATCAACATTATATTGATTTTTTCAGAATATTTTAAGGCATAGTTCCTATGGGCGGCCTTAACCTAGCTGTGCTTTAATCTGATAATATCAATGATTTTATGCATTTATGAGATATATAAATTTACTCTATATACAGGACACGTATTTCGTTTTGTAAAAATACGAATTAGAAATATTATACAGCCAAAACTCTGAGACAAATACATATAGGAACTACATGAACATTTTCTTCGGTTTTTTCTGCTCCATTCAAATTTTCTTGACACGAATTGTTTTTTTGGAAACAGATTTTCAGGAAATATGAATTATCTAGTTTTCGTTAATATCGTTAACCCTTCGCACGGTCAATGAAAATACTACACTTTAAATATATATTTCTAATATGTTTTTTTTATTTACAGATGCAGAAGCTATTGATACTTTTCTTCTTTTTGTGTTTGATTTACACCGCCGATTCATGCATGGATTGCAGGAGAAATGGTGTAAGTTATAGGAGTAACAGCGACTTTAGCTTTGATGAGGGGTGTTACCGCTTCAATTGTCAATGTAACTGTGACGGATCATGGAACTGCCCGTCTTTCAGGACCCAAAACATTTGCCGAAATCCCTCAGTTTCGAATCGATGTCAAAAATGTCAAAGAAAAGGGGTAGAGTACCCAGGAAACAGTGACTTTAGTTTTGATGAGGGGTGTTACCGCTTCAATTGTCAATGTAACTGTGATGGTTCATGGGACTGCCCCTCTACGAGGACACAGAACATCTGTCGACGCCCACAAGTTCCAGATAGAAGCTGTCCGGGATGTACAGTAAAAGGGAGAAACTACCCTGCCGGGCAATTCTACTATGACGACGTCTGCCTCAGAATTTTCTGTGAATGTGATTGTAACGGGTCGTATAAGTGCTCTTCCGATATGAACATTTGCTAAACGTTCAATTGCATATGATGGAAATCGTTTAAGACTAATATAGTTTCAAATTGATATATTTATTGAAGTTTTAGTAATTTAAAAAAATTAGCTGTCTTTTTATCATATACTGTAAACACTAGCAAAATTAATGAATTATATTAAGGGGGACCTATGTCGTTTTTTGTTATTGCAGCGTTATTTGACGTCACAATAGTAACGTTTCTTTGATACATGTTGCCTTTTTGATTTAGGCCAATAGCAAAAGTTTTAAAATGAAAATTTATTCATTATTTATGATCTTTATTTTTCTATTTGTTAAGGTAGAGTTTGTTAATAGTAGAAATTTCTTCCGTTGATTTATAGTTTATATCGATTTCAGTTTTGAAAAGATACGACAATATAGAAAAAAAATAAAATTTAGCAAATAAGCGGCTCAAATCAGGAAAAAATTTTTTAACTTGTAATTTCAGCATAACATTTATTTAATTGTTTTCCCTCGATAAAAATTAAGACAAGATTTTAAAAAATTTACTTGTACCTATATGTTTTAATATTGGTAGGTAGATTTTACTGCACAATAAGTATTGGTTATTGTCTGGGAAAAGAAGAAGGGCATGTACAGAACGATCTGAATCAAAAAGAAACGATTATATTCGTGTAAGTTAATACAAAAATGTACTAATTAAAGCAAAAAACTAGTTTCTGCAAAACAAAATAATATTAAGATGTTTCGTGTGCCAACTTACCTGCGTCTTAGTGCAGAAAGGTCAGTTTCTACGATATAAGAGTATAAATATTAAAGAAGTTTCCCCGTTTATTCTAACACAGGGGTATACTTTTTCTTAACTAAGATAATTCATTTCTTGAAAACATTTTCATAACAATATGTTCAAAGACTTTAAAAGAAATTGCCTACCATGCGTGACGGAATTTCAAATTAGCCAAAAAAAAAAAAAAAAAAAAACAGATAAATGGTGGTAATACTTACATTTTGCTCCATTATGATATGCATTGCAATGATTTTACCTTCATTTTAAAGATACAGGGTGTCTTAAAAAAGATAACACTTCTAAACTGTTAGAATGCCGGTTTTACGTTGACGAATGTATATCAAAATATTTACACATACAGTGTATAAAGCAAATATGTAAGTTTATTCTTATAGCTTGATTCAATTGATATCTTAAAGATTATCATTTTAGCAGCATTTTAAGTACACAATTCCATTCTGTCATTTTAATAATTAATGACGTTCTCTAAGTGACGTTCTTTCACCAGCTTTCTCTCCAGAACTCGCACTTTGAAATTATTATTAACTTTTTGACTTATTTCTTTGCTGATCTTCCTAACTTCCCGTTTGATGTTTGACAAAGGCACATTTCTGACCACTGATTTTGATTTGTAAACGAAAGATGAGGTATCACCAGAGAGATTAATTGCACTGCACAGTCCATGATTATCCATAATACTTCACTTCTCGGTATCGCCAAGATATCACCTTCTCGCCGAAGATTTCATTGAGATAATCTAAAACAATATAAGATTAT